ACTGTTTAAGGGTCTGCCGGAGTTTCGCCCGCTGGATGAGCTGCGACGCGGTGGCAGGGTCAAGCCGACGAGGGGCGGAACGCTTCTTCTGTCTACGCATCTCCACATTCAGGTCCTCCCAGAACTGGTTGAGCAGATCTACGCACTTCAGGTTCTTCCGAGGTTCCCATGTGTTGCTGGATTCAGGGAACCCCTTCCATTTCACCAAATATAACTCCTGTAAAGGGAGTAACAGGGATTGTAGTGAACTTAAATGCATTTAGATCTGGATACATTTTTGCTTTGATAAAACTAAATTTTACCCTTCATGTAGTAGAATTTACTTTCACTATATATCTACTCCAAAGGGAGATATTTTATTTAACAGAATCCACTTTCCAAGAACTTCAAAACTGCAAGGCTTCATCAAAACCGAAACTAAACAACACGTTCGGGACAGACTGGGAGAGGAGCTGTAATAATGTAAAAATACTATGTTTTTTGAACAATCAAGCATGAAAACATATTCTAATTACTCTAGTACACCCCAAAAACAAAATCAAGACTTTGTGAAATGGGCATAATAGGACCCTTTTAAGTGATCCTAAACAGTTGGGAGAAAATCAGACGTGTATCAGTTTATTGGGTCAATGCATGAGGTCTTAAAGGTTGACATGAAACGGAAGTTGTGATAGACTTTTCTTTTCCTCTTGTGACATATATCCAAATGAAACGGCTTCTCAAACTATAATTTTTTTAGGGCTGGACTTGATTTTGTCAATTGGGAATTAGGCTTGCCGCGATAGACGGTGTTGACGGTGTTAACGGTTTTAAGCCCCATCACCGGTGACATCACTTTCCCACCGTGACACCGCGATGTCTTGACTTTTTTTAAGTATTCGTTTTTGCTAAAATATTTATTTGAATTAATTAAAAATAATAATTATCAATTATTTAGTTCAGAAGAGAGCATACATTATAATTAAAAACTGAACTGCGCAGTGCGTGCCAAGAGCCAGTCACGTCACAGATCAGCAAGCATCAGGAGTCAAATTCCATTTAGCACGTGTGGAGATTTTATATTCGTCTCTTATTTATTTGGTTTTATCTTATTTAAACTTTGTGTAATTTATTTAGGCCTATTTTATTTTCTTATTCATTAATAAACGTTTTATGGTTCTTATTTGTTTGGGCCCACAGTTTGCCGATTTTCACTTTTTTCAGCCTATGCATGGGGTTATTTTTATTCGTTCGTTATGCTAATAAAAGTTCTGTCTATAAATAAAAGTTTTATTATCAGCGAGTTTTGAATTGTCAGCGCTGAATTGCCAATGGACGCTTATTTCGAAAGTGAAAGTATAACGCGCGCACGCATTTAAAAGCTATTTAACCCCCCGCCCCGCCCCCCACGGTGACACCGGGATTACCGGTGTTGTCACACGTCGAATAACCGGTGGGAAATTTTCCTCACCGCCGCAACCCTATTGGGAATTGATTGGATCATTGTGTTTAGTAAACATGTCATCACAGAAGAGATGGGAGGGGAAGTTATTTTGATTAAAACTTACAAAAGTACACAGATATTTAAAAAAAATTATATTTATAGATGAATAAATAATTTATAATTCATTGTCAATTTTTATTTCATGGTGAATACCTGCTGCTGTCTGTGTCATTAATGTTAATCAAACAACGAATGATAAAGAGAAAATCACTCACTGCTCTTGACTGAATAACTATTTTACTATTTTAATAAGCATCCATTTATATTTAAAGGCACACTGTGGAACTTTTCAACCTTTATAATATATTACCAAAACCCATTGAGATGGTACATCGACTTACAATAGGTTGAATGACACGTCTGCCGAAGCCTGAAGGTGTCTGTATCGCTTTTACTAGCACTATGTAACTTCGGGTTTCGGGTAGGAACCCGAGCACAAAAAGAACTCAAAAAGTTCTTTCACAAAAAGAACAAAGAGAAAATTCGACCGCTTTACGGCATACGTCACTTCCCCCACCACCCCAACTTCCTCAAATTCTAACGTGAGAGCTCAACTCGCGTTTGATTGCCGACGTCTGTATGTTGTCGTCATGGCTGAATCAACAGCTACTCGGAAGAAAGCAAAAATTTTGTCAGAGGAGACCAAAAAAAGAAAAAGGGGGAGTTTAAAATAAACATCGGCATAAAAGTGTATATATAATGTAATATTTACTGCGAATTCGTGTAACAAAACTGATATAAGTCACAACATACTGCCGTATACAAAGGTAAATGTTTTTTTTCCTTTCAGCTCATATATGTTTGTATTTGTGTAAAAGGAAAAACAAACTGAAGACTACAAATAACGGAAATATGTAGTGAGTTATATCAGTTTTGTTACACGATTTCCCGACTACTCGATTTCATCTCCAACCCATTGCAAAGATATCCTGAAGACGTTAATTGTTTGCTTCAGGTGTGTTTGATTAGGGTTTCGAGATGAACTGTGCAGGACAGACGATCGGCAGGAGCAGGATTGGGCAACCCTTGTCAATGCGACTTACCTGATCAGACATTGTTTTCTGCGTATGCTACTTTTATTCAATTTGTTTTCTTTATAGGATTTATATTAGTAATCTTATATTTATATTATTATTTTGGTCAGTAGTGAATCGATTAACTTTCTCCAACATACAAATCAAATGCCGTCTGCACACACATAAAGACACGGGAGGCTGACCGGTTGACTGTTGACTTTTGCGACAATGCTGCGGCGCTTGTGGCCTCTAGGAGCACTAGAAGTGAAAATTACAGGTCGAGCGCACCCTAGTGGCCAAAAATTCCACAGTGTGCCTTTAATTCATACAGTGAAGACAGCGCAGTGTTTTTACATTTTATTATCCAATTTCTGGAGTATCTCTTACTACGTTTAATTTGTATCTTTGTTCTATTAGGCTATAACTGTCCTACTGTTTGTAATTTGCTTCTTTGTTCTTATTTTTAAACAACACAAATAACTAGGCTATATTGAGATATATATTGTTATCATGCAATAAAATTTCTCATATCGTGAAAATAATATTCTGGTCATTCATATCACCCACCGCTAATGTGAGACCAATTACAAGCCAGAGGTTTATGCTCACCTGTACGGTTTGTGTCTTCCCATCGGTGATAACTTTCTTTTTGTAGTCGCAAAGGTATTCTACCTCAAAGTCGCACAGGTTGTTCTTGTTGATGCCTAGGTCGCCGCATACCACCCCCTGCTCTCGACAGATCACTTCCAGCTGGTCTGCGTTGGCAATGCATGCTACCCTACACACTTGACCTACAAGAACAATTAGATGTTAATAGATGTTAATAATCAAAATTTATGAAAATATTTCTGAAAATAAATTCAGAAAATAGCTGAAGTCCACATGCCTGTAAACTAGGAGTCTGCTGAGAATTTAACAGCAAAGATTTTACAAAATGGATTTTAAGTGTAATATATATGTATACATACGCACACTACTGTTCAAAATTGTTAAAAAATATTTTATTTATTTTAAGATTTATTAGTTAACTTGTTGTATGGATTTAATTTGGTTTCTAAATGATATTTTTGAAAAGTGCTACCCAAATAATTTTAAATTAAATTAAGAATCTAACATTCTAAAATTGGGTTAAAAAAAAATGTTGCTAACTTGTATTGCAAATATTGTCTGTAAAATATTTTAACATTCTTCAGTACAATTACAAACAAAAGCCAATTTAATTGATTTTACTATTTCATGTAATTTTCCATAGAGGTCCTTAGAAATGAAAATATATAACTGCTTGTATATTGAAGGAAGGGGGCTCCCTGACAAGGGAATCATCATCATAGACCCCTATCTCATGATTCTTTTCATTAAAAAGCTTGAAAGACTGCAGTAAACCACGCAGCACCACAGAACAACATGAAAGTTAAACATTTATTAAAATATTGTACAGATAACTGGATCATTTTGCCAGTTTGAGATAAAAAAAATCCTTACAAGAAATCAAACATGTGTCATCACTAACCAATGGGCCATTTAATAAACTGGCTAAGACTAATCGTAATTAGTAAGAATAGACATGAGATGTAAACCTAAACTAAGTGGGTAAACAACGACAGAGGCGTAGATTAACATGTTGAGGGGAAATGTGCTTTTTTTCATGCGTCCAGTGTTCAGACATACGGAATAGATCATATTCCTCATAAGAACGGGAAAGTTAGCTAAACATTGAAAATTATGCTTGCTAACTACTGAATGTACACACTTTTGCACCAATTGTGACGCTGTACAACTTTACAAAGAGCTTGTTGAATGTGTTGCGTGAGCGCGCGGTGGCCATAACATCGACCATCGATGTGAGTTTGTATCAACAACTCGCAGCAAAGATTCTTCCAAATCGGAGTGTTTGTTTCCGGGGTTTCTTTGAAAATACATAATTTAACGAACAACTCGTGTAATAGAGATGACATATATTAAGTAAACCGTTGTTTCTGAACGATTAAACTACACTTTCTTACCTTTCAAATTTTCCGCCATCTTCCGACCGCCGCCAAAATTATAAGATTAAAAGGCTGCTCGATGATTGGAGGCGGCACAGTCTGAGTGACGGGTTGGGAAACCAATAGAGACAGAGTAAACTGTTTATGGGAAGTTTGAACAAAGTTGGGTTTATGTATGGCTAGACTTTTTGCGCTTATTTCCTTTCTGGTGGTTTACAAAATCTTAAGTCTGCGTTTCTTATTTGTGTGCAGTCAATAAGTAGTTATTTATATGTTCATTATCTCTATTTTATAATATAAATTTGGGGACATAACAATTCATAAAGATATCACGAGTTTGTTTTTCTATGGAACAAATAAATAACGTTATTTCATTTCAGTTCGTAATAAAACATGTTGTGACGTCTTTTAATTTGCTTTTCACCGGTCATAAAGGCGGGACATCTAGCATCACGTGACACAGTCTACACAGAAACAATCCTCAACTTCCGGAGAAAGTCAACATATGTTTGATGGGCATTGATGTTATATTAAAGGTGCGTATATGCATTTATTTATACGTTTGCAGTTGCGCATGTAGCATTTAGCTTAAACATTTGATTTGAAAGATTTAATAGTACTTTCTCTTTAAATACACAATAGAGAGGGGAAAAGGCCTAAACTGTGGATTGTGTCCCCGGGTGTCTATCAGCTTTATACAAGCCACTCAATAATAAAATAATAAAACTGATTAGGAGTATATTGTTTAGGTCCCACATGAATAAGAATTTCAACCGATGACTAGTCTTGTTTGCTTTAATACTGACTGTCCCAGTTCAATTTAAGCAATTGCCTTCAGTAAAACAATAAATAAAGTAAATGATGTTTATGTGCAGGCGTCATGTCATCCAGCATTGCTCAAAATCTTCGAGCACCAGCACTCGTTCTGCTGTTTCTTGTTCTCATAGACGTGAAATCAATTGCTCATGCAGATAAGGTACAATTATCCCCTGACACATGTCCATTAAATGTATGCTCTTCATGTTTTCCCACTTACCGGTGTGTCAAATATTCCCTAAACATGTCACTTAATATGTTCCTTACACAGAGTTTTGAAGATGTGCGTTGCAAGTGCATCTGTCCACCTTACAGAAACATCAGTGGGCATATCTACAAAAGAAACGTGACCCAGAAAGACTGGTGAGAATCTGCATAGACCTGTGTTGTGTGTAAAGGAAATTATATATAGATGAATAAACTGTCTTATAAGATTTTCTTTTTCTCTGAGTTATTTCTTTTTTATGTATTGGTTTGTAGTAACTGTCTGCATGTGGTGGAGCCCATGCCAGTGCCTGGCCATGATGTGGAGGCCTACTGTCTGCTCTGTGAGTGCAAGTATGAAGAACGAAGCAGCAACACCATCAAGGTATTGAGCAACTTCCGATAATCAATAAATTCTACTTAAAATTAAAGTTATGTTTATTATAAGCTGCTTTCTTGCCTTTTATAATGTAGTACAAAGGGTATTAAAGTCACCATAAAATCAAAATTGAACGTTTTTTAATGGAACATTGCAGTTTGTTATATAAATGATTTATATTTGCACATCTTTATTATTAACTTCTCTTATCTGATGATGTGTTTACTGGCGTGAGGGCGGGACAACCTCACTGCAAAAAATGCATTTCTTACTTAGTATTTTTGTCTTGTTTCCAGTCCAAATATCTAAAAATTCTTAAATCAAGAAGTATTTACTAGATGAGTAAGATATTATGCCCTGTTTTCCGGGGGAATTAATCAAAATGAAGTGAGTTGATGCTTAAAAATAGCAAAATTATCTGTCAATGGAGTAAGAAAAATAATATTAATTCAAACAGAAACAAGCTAATTTTTCTGACCCCATTGGCAGATATTTTTGCTTGTTTTAAGCAAAAACTCACTTAATTTTTATTTATTTCCCCAGAAAACAAGACTTAATATCTTATGTCATTTTACTACTTTAGTAAATGCATCTTGATTTAAGAAATGTTTGATATTTGGACTGGAAACAAGACAAAAATACTGAGTAAGAACATAATTTTTTGCAGTGCTGTCACTCACATGACATCACAGCAATAGTTAACCACAACAATCCAATCAATTCCCCAAGGACAAAATCAAGTCAAATTTTCTTGTTCGAGAAGTCGTTTCACTCAGATACACATCACAAAAGGAAAGAAAATACTATCGCAACTTCCGTTTCTTGTCTACTTTGATATTTTTGTATATTTCCTAGGTGACCATTATCATCTACTTGTCAGTGGTTGGAGCTCTTCTGCTGTACATGCTGTTCCTGCTTCTAGTTGATCCTCTGATCCGCAAACATGATCAGTACACCATTCCACTGCACAACGAGGAGGATTCTGAGGTATGTCCTCATCTGTGCTAATTTGACCTAATTTATTGTTGCAAAAGTTGACTTGGAATCTAAATTAAATATTTGTGAGCAAAACAAATCTTTAGGTATAACATTGGGAAATATTTTCTCTAAATAGCACAACATTGCTTGTCACACACACTGTCTCAAAAATGAAGACACATTTTCTGTTGAATGTGCATTTACAGAACAAACAAAGATTTTCAGATTTTGGTCCCTCACTCACTAACTTCATAACTAACAAAAAAGTAATTGTATTACTATTTAACAAGTAAATGGTATTAATGATAAAACAGTCTTTTGATTAAAGAAAATATTTGTGCTATAGTTCATATTTTGTTAGATTTAGATATTAATTGTGCTCATTGTTTCTCCCGACAGGACGTGAGGCCGCATGTGGATGGCCGTGGGAACACGGTGCTGGAGAGGGTAGAGGGAGCTCAGCAGCGCTGGAAGAAACAGGTCCAGGAGCAGCGAAAGACTGTGTTTGATCGCCACAAGCTGCTCAGCTAAGCCCTCAGACTCCAGCTGGGGAAAAGGACAAAATGGGCACCACTGACTGAGACAACATTTGCATGTTTGTCTTACAATTTCAGCTTTTATGGCAATGTATTTTCAGTTGGCCTGATGCTTGTGTATTATTATTATTTATTATTATTATTATTTTAATTGTATGAAGGCTGACTTGATTGTATTCAGCTTTCAAACTGCAGCTGTGAAAACATTTAGTAGCTTGCTGTTAACATAAATGATGGGAATCAACCAGCCCCAGTTAGTCTTACTCCAGTGGTCACCTTTACATTTCTCACCCAACAACTTGAATATATCAGTGTTGCCACTACTTTGCTTTGAAATTGCATTGCAAAGGATGAGATTGCAATAAAAATAGTGTAATCTGGGGAGCATTGATATGGAACTGTATGCAATCTAATATAGATGCACATATGAATGGGTAGAATGTCATTGCACTGTTGTAGTTTCACGTTGAGTTACCAAGAAAATGTATTGAAAGATTTCCATTATTGATGGAATTTTTGCCATTTGATAATACCATTAATGATGGCATATGTCTCAAGAATATCTCTTTAAAAAAAATGGCACATTGTAATAACCTTATTTCAAGATGTATATACTCTTCGTAAGACTGAAGACAATAAGGGTTTGAGTGGTTGTTACTGTTGAATGGTATCCTCATAAGCTTCCTCTTAGATGATTGGCACTTTTGTTGAATAGTCTGATTTACAGACATCCAATAATATTGAATTTGCACCTCAAAATGTGAAGGACTTTGCTTGACTATCGTATTTGTTGCTACAAGAATTTCTTTCCAGTGTGTATCCTAAATACTTGTAGCTGTTTTACAGCTGAAACATTCTTGCTTATGTGAAAATGCACTGAAATATTAAATATAGTTACAGAATATTGTCAACTTTCTTTGTACAGTTTTTTTCTTGAGTAACTTCACAAAGACTTTTTCACAAAGAATTGAGTCCTACTATTGCCACATTATGAGTGTAACTCAAAGTTTGACGTTAAATGCAGTGGTGAGATATATTTAGTTGGAAACCACCAACATTGGATCCTGTAAACATTCCCATCTGCTGTTTCATACAGTAAACCACCTAGTAAATAAGCCTGGCATGTTTCAATGACACTATGTATTATTCATATTTCCTCCTTTTTAATGTCATATTTCATCTGTTGTAAAAGCAGCTGAATTTCTCTTATGGATACTTCATTCTCTTTCTTTTTGGTTTCTTCATCTGCTGCACCCCAAGGCCGCCCTTCCCCTCCTCCACCTGCCTCCGCACCCCCAAGAATGGACACTGACTGCCTGTCTATATATATCCCTCAGAAGGGGCCAGCTGTGCCTAAATGTTCCCTGCCCCTCTGATGCCTCCTTGTCTGGTGTAGGTTTGCAGCAGGGGCCAGGGCTAAGAAGGTAGACTGTGCCTTCCTCAGAGAGGGCGAGATGGTGGATGAGGCTTAGGACCATGCTGAAGATCTGACCTGGACTTAAGGAGATCAAGGATTTGTTAAACTAGGAATCTCATTTCAGGTTTTTGGGTGAATTTCCATCACATTTTGTGGAAAATAAGAAGATTTTACATTTGGGAGATTCAAAATGGAGTCAGGTGGCGGCGGTGGTGGTGGGGCTTTGGCCTCGTTCATCATGAATGAAGAAGAACTGAAGAGAAAGCAGAGGGAGAAGCTCAAGAAAATGCAGGCCACCGGAGGAAACCCTCGACCTCCGCGTTCCTTGTTCTTATTCACGCTCAAAAACCCTTTCCGCAAGACCTGCATCAACATTGTGGAATGGAAGTATCCTTCAAACTAACTTGATTTTTAGTTGTTCAGTTCCCTTTACATAAAGCTTTGGACTGTGGTTTGATGATCATCTAGTTATGTTATTGAATCGTAAGCTGAGATAGGCATGTTTTAGAAAGGCATCCATACCCCAGAGAGAGATGGTTTAGCATGCATGCCAGAAAAAGCACACAGCCACGGCTTTGTCTTACTCGGCTTTTTAATGTTCAACAAAACCGTAGCGAGATATTTGCTCCATGAAAGATATCTTGATTTGTGAGGTGGAGAAAATAAAAGAGGCACAGTTGTTTTTCGTAATCCCCAGGTTTAGTGTCTCTTAAGGTGCTGAAATCTCTGTCTCAGTTGTGAACTAAAGGTGTTAAGCTTTTGTTATATGTCAGACTCAACACGGTCAATTGGAAGCAGTAGTTCCCAGCCTTAACTTGGAAGATGATAAGGATAAACCTCAGACTATTTACAGCCAGTCAGCAAAACACCATTAATAAGACTTTAAACTAGTGTTAATTGTCCTAATTTACAGTTTTGTTTGTTTTAACATGGCTTCATACCCCCGGTTTCACAGAAAAGTTTTAAGCTAGTCCCAGACTAAAATGCGTGTTTGAGCTGGTTTAACTGTAAGCAACTTGAACTGAGATATTTTAAAATATGTCAGTGCCATTGTTTTCTCTCAAGATTCAGATCAGTAATGTATTTTTGTAAGACACGTTTATAACAGCTTAGTCTAAACCCTGTCTGTGAAACCAGGCCATAGTGTTCCTTTCATAGCTGTAATTTTCTAAATTACACCCAAGAACAAGAATCGGCTGTGCTGCAATTAAAAAAAAAAAGAGTCGGAAGCGGCTTCTTTGCTTCCTCTTTTGAGATCACCCTTGGAGACAAAACCCTACAATAAATATTTGCTTTACAAACTGAAAACTTTTACTTGATTAGTTCACTTATAAATGGAAGTGTGAATAGGAGGTGTAATTTTGGAGCTATTTGTCAACGTGTATTTATACAGTTTAATAATATTCTGGCTGTGTACAGCTGTTGTGTAGGATCACTAGTGGACATGATGCTGAGCTGGCAGGGAAATTCTGATTCCACCCCCTAGTGGCAGAAATGCACATAGAATTACAGTTAGTTTTGTTTTTGTTTTTTAGAATTACAGTTAGTTACAGTTACAGGCTACATGTAGTGTACAGTTTAACCTCACCAATAATAGACGATTAGTAAGTATTTCTGAATTCTGAAGCCAAGAGAATTGAGAAAACTTAGAAATACTTCTTACTGGCCATGAAACTATATCATGATAAATAAATTTGTAATAAATACTGTATGTATTTTTATAATTATTTTATTTTATAAATATAGCTAAATAAAATATAATAAATATAAATATTTATTATATTATATATTCTGTCCTAGTAAAGGTTTATTCTGATGTAAAATCTGATGAGTGAGTCCTTGATTGCAATTTACTGACCAAATAACTGTCCAATATCCCTTGCTTTTATATAAAAACTTGTATTTAGCACTGGCCAACTGTTCATTTATGGTTAAATCTAATGTATGCAAGACCTGCTTATATTCATCACAAAGTTGAATGTGAAAATCTTTACTTCAATTTTCCAGTTTGTGTAGTTTGTGCCATAACGTTCCAGTTTGCAGTAGTTTGTGCCATGTTTGCCCAATGTTTTCCTGAGCAGACTCCATCAGACCCTTTGAGATCATTATCCTGCTAACTATCTTTGCTAACTGTGTAGCTCTGGCTGTGTTTCTCCCTATGCCTGAAGAGGACACCAACAACACTAACTTAACATTGGTGAGATGTTCTTAAATTATACGTACCATAGGAGAACATAGGTTAAACGAATAATCCCTGATTACTTCAATTAGTAATTTGCAGTGATACATCAACTCCTTTTGCAAATAAATTATATCATGTTTTATGGCACCAATGGATTAAAGGGATATGTGCCTCAGACACCTCATGGTGTGTTGCCAGATAATCTGAGAAAGTTCCATTTCCAACATCAAGTGTTGCTCAGATCTTTGCCTATTCAGGTCTTAAAGTACATGTGTTTTGAAACTGGTACGCTAAAGTTTTCTCCCATGTTGGCGTTTGCACTGGTTTGCACTGGGTTCCTTTGGATTAACAGCCTATGTGTGATTTACATAAATAAGCTCTTTTTAAGTTAAAGTTAATATAGGCCTACCAACAAAGCAATTTAGAACATGTTTTAAAACTGGAAATATACCATGCTAGCAGGTGCTGTTTTGTGTCGTGGGTTTTATATTTAGTCTTTGGTTTGAGAAGTCCAAAGGTACAAGTGCGGTGTTTAAAAATATACTCAAATCTTGGGAGGGGATTTTCATGACGCATTAATATAGATTTTATTGACATGACTGTAGAACAGACTTGCAAGATAATGAAATCATTTACCCCATGTGGCCACAGACCTTTGCTGTTGTTGACTTAAAGTCTATAGGTGCCAAAACTTATTTCCTATGTGTAACCTTTTTGGTTTTGGCTAAATCCTCTTTACACAAGCTTATTTCATGACTCAAGCTTCATTGGTGGTATGTAGGTCACATATTCTTTCCACTAGCGTGTGCAGTCATATTCTCCTCTCTCAGAACAAATCTGAGCCCCACTCACTTATTTACTCCTCTGGGGTTACAGTGACTGTCGGTGTGGGTCATCCATTCCTTAGATACTAAGTCATGAAAGAGGAGCTGAGAGTGGATCTCAGACATGGTCAGAATTATTTTGATATGGTCTGCTAGTGTAGAATGAGAGGCAGTGTGCTGTGTAAACATACAGATTAGATCCTCACTGCACATCTGAGGAAGGTTGTTTGGTTTGCCAAATTTTAAGGTTAGGGTTTTAGAGCCACTTTGCAGTTGTTTTTTTGAACAAATCATCCATGCAATGTAGTTGACAGTGAGTTAAAGCTGCTAATAGCCCCTCTGAGATATAAAGTCATTTTAGGATGTGGAAACAACAAAACTTCCATGAAATGTTCTTTAGAAAGTCAAAAAATGATGATGAATGCCTTTATTGTCATTGCATTTAAGTACAATGAAATTATAGAGCCACTCTAGTAAGGTGCATCATTAAAACACATACAATATATAAAACATATCACACAACATGTTAATTTAAAACCCAATTTACCCACGTTCCTACTAAGGGGCTATACATATTCTAATGTAACAAGAAGATGTCCTGTAGTTTATGCTGTATTTTTTTACAGACTGTTAATATTCTTCCAATCCAGCTTAATATGCAGAGCTAAGAGTAAAAGCTTAAAGTTGGCATGAAATGTAGGGTGGG